AAAAAAAAAAAAAAAAAAAAAAAAAAAAACAAATAAAAGAACTCATTATGACATTTTTAAACCTACTCATAATGAAAGCGAGAAGAATGAAACAAAATAACTTTTGTTATTCATAATCCAAAACATTAAACACCTAGACACAGTATTCCAATCAATTGATTCAAATTGGTTATTAGAACGGCTATTCAATCTGAATTCAAATAGAAACTGTAATTTGCAACTTGATACCAAAATAGCGGTAACTGCTTCGAAGAAAATGCTTCCTACCTGACAAATTATCCAAAGAAACAAAAATCAAAAATTTATAATATCGTTATTTTATCTTTTACATAATGAGCACTACAAGAGATTAGCATTCATATTTACGATATTTACTACTCCGATAGCGACGCGTAAGACTAGTAATAATTCAACCCTTGAAAGAACTCCAAGAGATAAACTGCTCTGCTGTGGCCTTTTAAAAGTACAGTTGCAAATTAACTGCATGAAATTCGGTTTTATGAAACATTCTGGCTTTGAAGTTAACTTCCATGAGAAAAAAACCAATGAAAAAGCAACACACTATTAACAGAGTGAAATTTGAATCTCACTAGCTGCAACAGTCATAGTGTCGTGAAAGGTGCATTTACCCAGGTAATTTCGTAGATGTCCCATTCGGAAGCCAAAATAATGATGTCAGAGTTATGAGAGCAGTACTTACCACAGAAAAAAGGAAGTAAATGTTGCATAAGTCTGTCGAAAGTTTCGGAAAATATCAGACTTTTCTTCAGTTGTCGGCAAACCAACTCGAGTCTATACCTTTTTAACAAATAGTGATTTTGTTCTTTGACTTCGCTACTCTTCCCCTTCAACGCACTTTCCAAAAAATATAAGTTGGTAGCACTTTGTGAAATGCTTTTGCTATGAGCTGTACCAGGCAAAATGATGAAGCCGCTGCTTATGCTTTTTTGCTAAGTTTGGAGCTAATCTATTCTCTATCACGCCCAAATAATAATCGCAGTACATCAAAAAACCTCGGTTTTACTGAAGGGTTTTTGTACCATACACCTCTTAAAATGAAGTTCCTACTCTTCTCTGCTGAGCAAAAACAGAAAAGATAAAACTCACTACAAAAACTCGCCAAAACAAAGCAAAAACACGTTTTTTAACTGTATGAAAATAACAGAAACTTAAAATAACCAGCCTTCGTCAAAACCTTCGGTTACATCTATAAGAGCTCTTTCCAATATAACTTTGGCTTCTTTATATCTCTGTGGGTCACTTAATGCATATTCATACATCCACCCAAGTTTCGCCTGAAAAAAGCCAAATCCTTCACTCAGTCTTCAGGTCTATCTCAACGGCAAAATCTTAGTCCAGAATACAGTGGAAATATGAAAACTTTTAACTGTTTACATCCACCTCATAAGCCAAGTTTATCTACACTAACCCTGCGTTCAAAAAAGTAAAAATTAAAACTATATCCTAACTCAACCGTCATTTTACCAAATTTCTATTAAGCTATACTGTGTAATTTTTTTCACATCCCTTATGTAGCTTTAACTTAATCTGTGGCTTTAAGTTACGAAATTCATTGTATTATCTTAGGTCTTTAACTTCTTAGATATAACAAACGTCTAAGATATTACTTGAAGGGTAATAATGAAACTAAACTGAAATATTTTTATGACATAAGGGTAATGTAAAAATCAAATGAAGAAACTAAGAGAACCTCTACGTTAAACTGCTAACTCTGCACAGCAAATATCTCAGAATTCCTCACTGACTAACTGGAAAAGTGTGAACTTCAAATGAGAAACGGAGAAAACCCTACAGTAGTGTAATAGTTGCTGAATCAAAATGTGTTAAAATGTTAATAAATGAGGATCTTTTTGCTCAGACGGTAACATTCGAGTTACCTTACTTAAAACCTTCCTTCGAGAACTGTACACCGAAAAGAATATCGATTTTGGACATCGCTTACTTTTATTCCAGAGTTATTTCTGCGTAAAACAAGAAACGTCTTGAAAAAAATTCAAAGTCTAATCCTCCCAGATATACCTGCTAAAAGTTCCGTTATGCTGTCGCGCTCCCTGGAGAGTAATCCAAGGACAAACAGCTCTCAATGCTGAAGAAAATTACAGTTCTTCAAGAGTTTCCTATATAAGCAAAAAACTTTTATTCCTTTTTACTCTGAATCAATTTCACTCTGAGGCTAGGATACTTTCCCAATTAAGCTTTTTGATTTTCCAACTGAGACCAAACTTAATAAAAAAACTCTCTGGAAAAATTAAAAGATTTCAACTACAAAATGCGCAATTCGACATTAAAATCCCCTAAGCTTTGACAAAAACGATTACCTTGCACCGTTTGCAACTGACATCGCGAACAATATGACGCCCAGTGATCATCGTGCGCATTTGCGTCTCTGAGTATTCAACGTTAACAACCTGATTGAACAAGAAAGCAGGCCCTGTGGAACCTTAAAGTAATCTAAATGCTAAAAAATAATCAAAACAATCAAAAATAAAACTGCTTCCCCAGAGCCAAGTTGACATTCATCTCCGACCTAAATTATACACTTAAACTGCAAAACAAACCGGAAAATAAGTGGCAGGAGCACGTGCTAAGTGGAAAAAAAATTTAATTCCTTTCGTATTAAAATAAGTCAAACAATAAAAGTTTTTCTACAACTCACTACAGCGCTTTTACTGCACGTTCCAGAATTAAGCATCATCTTTCTAAAGATCTTCCGAATTATGCGTGGAAATCTCACTTCCTCCGGTAAGCTTCAAAACTTAGATTAAGGCTCAAGCTGAGCTTAGAACTTGCAATTGCGCAACACATGTAATAATTATTAGCTTCTTCTCATAACTCAAAACAAAATCATTTTTTCAAATGTCAACCCTAGAGAAATGTATAAACCCCGCCTTTGCTCATTACTAATTTTTTTTGCACAATATAGTCTTAAAAGACGAAGCGTCATCCTCAAATTCCTCAACTCGTTAATTTATTCAACAGAAAAAGCAAAGTATTCAAGGCGGAAAGTATAAATTACTAAATGATACGACTATACAACAAAAAATTAATAGTTACTTGAAATTATTTCCTTTAATCCTAAATTAACTGAGATGAGTACCGACGGTTTCTATTATCCACTAAAACAACGCCTGACCGCTAATGTCTCAAATAATAAATGATTTCATACAAAAAGTAAGCAACCAGAAACTCAGGCTGTCAAAATCTACGATTTTTTATCAAAAAACCTTGCTGACCAACGATTAGCACTGTTCTGCCAAACTGCTTAAACCAAAGTTGCCTTTAGAATTTTTGAAATACATTTTAGAACTGCGGTTTAAATCATATTTCGGTAGCTTGGTCTTACTCACTTTTTAACGTTAGTTTCCTCATCATCTAGATTGTGTATTTAACCAATAAAACTACAAGAGTAGTAACGCTTTACTTCATCACCAAAAACAATCTCAGTTTCTACTGAAAACTCGTGAGGTCACGAGAACGAACTAAATGCTTCTTCATCTTGTCAAACTTTTGCGATTAAAACATGTTTAAATAATAAAAACTTAAAAAATCTTTCGGCTGCCTTAGTAAGACAAATCAAGTGAATCGGCTACTCTCTAGCGTAGTACTCACTATGCCCAAATTTAATAATTAAATATCCTCTTAATCAGTAGTTTATAAAAAATCTTTGATAAAGTGCTGAATGGCTGTGACTTCCAAATAGGCATTTTTTTGCAACTTTCTAATGTGTCTAATCAAGGACTAAACAAGCGATTAAGCCATAAAAATTCATTTCTGGAAAACTGTTTTTATAAAAAAACAAGAGCACTTCTCAGTGCCTCTTTTAATCTCAGACGGCTTAAGAACTGTTTGAACTCCGCTGACATCTATCACCACTACTGTGGAAAAAAACTGAACTACAAATCAGTTTAATAAAGAACTAATACAGCCT